TTCGACGACCTTCGTTGCGAAGTGTGTCAGCTATCCGTGGATTCAGCCCTGCCTGGTTAGCAGGGCACTATAACGACCTAGAAAGGGAAAACGGAACTAGCTGTTATTCTGGGTAGATGCGTTCCTTCAAGTATTGATGTCAGCACACCACCTTCACACCCTTCCCCGACGTTCTTCCTTTCCCCATTGTTTTTTTTTTTTGWTTTTTTTTTTTTTTTTTTTTTTTTTGTACAGGTCCACAAGTCTCAAACGCTTTCTTTTGCATGAGCCTCCTCGGGACCCCTGATAAATGCGGTGTAACGTATATTCCCGTTTTCCCCAACACTGAGGGTACTCACACGGGGACCAAAAGTCTCAAAAATTTGAGGCATTTGGTTCGTTTTTTTTTATGCATTTTCTCCCCATGTGGTCACACGGGCCGATTTCGACCAGAAAGGACAAAGTCGCGACCCTAACACTTTGCACTTAGGGCAAGTGCGCCCGGTCACACGGGGGAGGACTAAACAAAAAGATTGTTTATTTTTTTATTTTTTTTAAAACCAATATTAAGGCATGGGCCTTGGCTACAGCGTAAATGTTTTGGGTCGCACTTTCAGTTGTTTGACGGGCTGTCTTTTTCGTCTACGATTCTTTTCAATTCACGAACATTAAAGCCCTCTCCAGTGTGACCTGAAAACTGACTCAAATTTTGGGATTTAGGGTCTTTCGTGCGAGTATGCCCTGAGAACCCAAATCCGCAAAATATGCGGATTTGGGAAGGGTTGATTTGAGGTTTTGGGCATGGTTCACGTCACTACCTTTTCATATGGGACAAGGTCGCGGTCGTCTGGAAAAATGGGGATTTGGTACTTGGCTGGTCACTTGGTACCATCTACAAATTGTGCAAGAGCTTTTGTGAACAAATTTTCTCCAATGAAAATGCGAAAAAATAAATAGCTCTGACAAATGGGGACACCAATAGCACATTTGGTACTTTGGCAAATCTGTGGGCATACTCACAGGAGGACCAAATGACCTTAAATCCCAAAATTTGATTCAGTTTTCGGGTCACACTGGAGAGGTCCGCTACCCAAATGCCTCAAACGGTGACCCTTTTGTCAGCGGCCTGTGGGGCCGCTGGAGGACCCTTTTTGTGACCACCTCGGGAGGTGGTCTCAAATGACCTTTCAATTTTTTTTTTTTCCATCTTACCTTATACTAAGCTTATAGCAAAAAATCTTCTACGAAGAAAACAGCCTGCCAAAAGAAAGACAAAAAAGATGGCAATGTATCTATCCATGTTCTAGCGGTGGATTCAGGGCATACTCACACGAGGACCAAAAGACCCAAAATCACAAAATTTGAGTAATTTTTCGGGTCACACTGGAGAGGCTCACTACCCAAATGCCTCAAACGGTGACCCTTTTGTCAGTGGCATGCGGGGGCGTGGGCGTACCCTTTTCGAGACCACCTCCGGAGGTGGTCTCAAATTACTTTTCGTTTTTTTTTTTTTTTTTTTCTACGTTCGTGAATTGAAGAGAATTGTAGACGAAGGAGACAGCCCGCCAAACAACTGAAAGTGCGACCACGAACATTTACGTTGTAGATAAGGCCCAAGCATTATACTACCGTGATTTTTTTTTTTTTTAATCCATCTTTTCGTTTGGTCCTCCCTCGTGTCACCGGGCGCACTTGCCCTGAATGCAAAGTGTCAGGGTCGCGACTTCGTTCTTTCTCGACGAGGTCCGTCCGTGTGACCACACAGGGACCAAATGCCTAAAAAAACCGAACCAAATGCCTCAATTTTTTGAGACTTTTGGTCCCCGTGTGAGTATGCCCTCAGTCTCATATTGCACATTTGGAGTGTAGTGCAGCGAGGCCCATGTATGTTGTTAAAAAAAAATATAAAAAAATTTGTCTACTTTCTTACTTGGCTTGTTAAAAAAAAAAAAAAAATGCGATCTTCTTTGTTAGGGCCTAGTTGCACTACTCGCCATCCGTCACAATTCGTGGCGGATGCGTGGAGAGTGAAAAAAATGAAAATTGTGTCGAACTCGAGGCTTGGTTGCACTTACTTGCCACTAGATTTCATCAGAAAAGTCAATTTTTTTTGTGTACCTGATGCCGACTCATGAAGCCCTGCACTTTCTAGAAAGTTGTTTTGTGGAGAGGTCCGAGGACCACCCTCTACAAACTGCTGTGCACAGGAGGGGAAACTGAAAACACTCTCCACAACTTGTGTCGACGGTGTGGACAGCCGTCCAACACATTTTGCATTCGCCAAGTTTGGCGAGTAAGTGCAACCGGGCGCCTACTCGCCAAACTTGACGTATGGCGAGTAGTGCAACTAGGCCCTTAGTCGTCACCAGTGTGACTACCCACACTTGCCCAGAGGGCGAAGTGTGAAGGCCGCTACTCCGTCCTTTCTGGACGACGTCCGCCCATGTGACCACAGGAGGACCGAAAGTCCCAAATAGGCCTAACCAAATGCCTCAAAATTTTGGGGCTTTTGGTCCTTGTGTGAGTATGCCCTGTGTGATCGGCCCACTACCCTTTTTCTGAGGGATTTGGGCTTACAGGTCCCAGTGTGAGTATGGGGCTCGTTCGACACTCCTTGGGGCGTCCTCGGAGCCCRAGGAAAAATTCCTTTTAGTCAAAAGGAAATTTGGGCCCTTCGTTCCACCTGTCCTCGGGGACGTCGCCCGAGGACGTTTCCTTGGAGCGATGACAGAAAAGAAAAAAGGAAAAAAAAAAAAAAAAAAGTGCTTAAGGCCTTCAGCCAATAGGGTGCCGCCACGATCCAGATTCTCGGTTGTAAGGTCTCTCTACGCGTGTGCCAGCTCCTCTCCGTGAAACGCGGATTCCGGACCTCGTGAGGTCCCTTGGGCAAAAGGGAGAAATGGCTGGGGAATCCTCGGAGCCCGAGGAATTTCCTTCGGAGTGTTTTCACTTTTTTTTTTCCGACTGCAACCCCAAGGATAAGTGGAATGAACAATTCCTCAGGGACTTTACGCGCCCAAGGAGTGTCGAACTAGCCCCTGTGCCCTGAGTGGTGGTTTAACGCCCAGGCAAGGGTAGGGGCCGTTATATTCAAGACTGTCAATTTGTTTTCGGGTTATTTTATAAATTAACAACAAATCAAACGGGTCACTTTCCAGAAAAATGGGAACCACTTGATTCCCCAACAGCCTTGCATCTCCCACGTCGCTCTTTATTCATCAGGCTCAACGCTGCCAGTGGGACACGGCCCCAAAACAGGGGCCTAGCTCCAAAAACAAAAAGGAAAAAATGAACGACATTCTCACAACTCTTGGCCTAACTCAGTTGGTAAGGCATGCAAGTGGCGTTTAGGAGGTCCTGGGTCTAATCCCCATTGGCCTCATGCTTGCCGCCTACCACCTAGAGGGAGACCAATGATACTCCCTATCAGCGTTGAGCAGTAGGTCAGAGGGGATCTGAGGGAGGATTGGTCCTGTCCCTGATGCTGCCGGCTATCGTCGGGAGCAGCCCACCCATGTTCTCTCGTCAATACGGTTCTGGCTTACGAGTAGTGGTAGGTAGGTAGTGTGAGGTGAAATTGAGAGAAGAACATAGGCAGTGTGAGGAATTGAGATCGGTTGCGATTTGGGGCAACATTCGGACGCAGCCATTATATACCTGGGCGTTCTATTCGGGCGAAGGCGGTAGTTTCGCCAATTTGCTGCGTTGCCGAGTCAGACGAGGATGGCAAATCGGAAACGATACAGGGCCTCGCTGCACTACTTTCCAAATGTGCAAAATGAGAACGAATCTTCCCCTTGAACAGGGAACGATGCACCACCATATGTTTTGTCTTTTGTGCATGTGGAGAGTAGTGCAGCGAGGGCACACCGCCATATACATTTTTTTTCTTTTCTACCGCCATATTTTTTGTCTTTTGTGCATGTGGAGAGTAGTGCAGCGAGCCAAAGACCCGACGCTCTGGCATCTGCGAAATTGCCCAAGGTAAGGTACTGCTGTTACACATCAGAACTCGTCAGGGAACTCGCAGCGCGACCGCAAAATCAAAACCTTTTCCAAAAAATTCAAATGATTTTGCCAAAACGCCCTCTTGCGTGAGTTGGCCCCAAGTGGAGCGAGGCCGGACTCTGCAAGACCCATCGCTACCGGTAGCCATGACGGAGCTTAGCTATGGCGCTTGCCATCTTCATGATCAAATATCGACTCCTGCCCATGATAGAGTACACGGACTCCTCCTGCCCATCATAGAGCACAGGGAACAAATACATACCGTTAGCCACTTAGGAGATTCAATGTGCATCCTTGATGTAGACAATACTCACGTACCAAGTAGGAGCACAGGAACTTCGGATTTTCTACAAGATTAAGTACACACACACACACACACACACACACACACACA